AGTTCTGACTAAATCCTGTAAACCGGACTGCTATTGGAACAGACTAAGTATGTGGGTATTTAACTGCCCTTTAAACAGTTTGCGAACGTTCGAAAGTGGGCTTCGCATACCAAACTGAGAACGAACTCATAACCAACCTTAGTTTTCCAACGGTCATAGTATCGAGCCCTAACCGCCAAAAAGGCGTAAGCGACAAAATTTTATTTTTGATGCAGAAATGTATCTAAATGCTGCATCAAACAGAAAATTAAAAAAAAAAATGTTGCTTACATCTTTTTAGCGGTTGGGGCTCGGTATATTGGAAATACACTCCAGATGGGTTCGAAAAAAATTAAAACCATAGGAACAAGAGGGGAAGTGAGGGCTGTTCAGGATGTTGTGGAAATGGTCTTGGGTTTGCAAGTGGAATTGCATTTGCAAATTTTATGCTTGCTGCCGTGGCAACCGTGCTCCTTTTACTGTTGTAAATTTACAAATGCAACGAATATGCAAATCATTCCAATCATTTTCGAATTGTTAACCAAGCCCAATATTTATTCGGTTCTTATTCAATAAATGTTTTTTTTTTTCAGCCAAAATAAGTCAAAATGAAGACGGGGTCATCCCCATCATTTGCACACCCAGTAACGCCTGGGTTGGTGCCATCCACTTTTCCATCAACTGGTGCTACCAGTTATATGGAGGATTTTGAAAATATCATCGCCAGCGGCAAAGAACCGGTAATGACCAAGGAGTACAAACCTCAAGTGGCCAATGAGTTTGAGCGGTACTTGAATCCACAAACATTAAAACGACATGTTTTTCGCAGCGAAAAAGTGCGAAAAATTATCGAGCATTACGCGCAAGCGAATAATTGTCCAGCGAAGCAGATCGAAAAGCAAGTGAAGGAGATCATCGATGAAATCGGCCTGGAGCGTAACTTGCCGATTATACGCTGGTGCGGTATGGCCATAACGGCGATTTCAAAACGCATCCTCTCGGGAATTTACGTGAATTCTAAAAGTATTCGAACAGTTCGTGAACAGTTGGGTCGTAATCCTGTATGCTACTTGCCCAGCCATCGTAGCTATATGGATTTTGTGCTAATGTCATACATTTGCTTCTATTACGACATTGAAATACCTGGAATAGCGGCCGGAATGGGTGAGTAAGCTGCATTTTTAATGGCATAAACATCGAAATTTTTTATATTTCTAATGCATATTTAGACTTTCATGCCATGTTTGGCATGGGCACAATGCTGCGTAAAACCGGTGCATTCTTTATGCGTCGCTCCTTCTCAAATGACGAACTTTACTGGGACATCTTTCGCGAATATATGTATTCATTGATCGCCGTTTATCACATCGGTGTTGAGTTTTTTATAGAAGGAACGCGCAGTCGCAACTTCAAGGCACTTGTGCCGAAGATTGGATTGCTCTCAATGGCATTGCTTCCCTACTTCACCGGGGAGGTGCCAGATGTTACCATTGTGCCAGTCAGTATATCCTATGAACGCGTACTCGAGGAACAATTGTTCGTCTACGAACTTTTGGGTGTGCCAAAGCCAAAAGAGACAACTAAGGGCTTCTTCAAGGCGCTGAAGATTATCGATGAACGTTTTGGCAAAATGTACTTGGATTTCGGCGCACCGATTTCTGTGCGTGAATTCTTTGGACATACGGGAGCAGATCGTATGCAACGTGCTGCCGTGGGTGCGCATTTGCAAAAGTTAGACAAGCGCGAGTTAGATTTGATAAAGAAGCTGGCTAACGAGGTTTGTGTGCTTACTGTTTGAACAACCATCTACCTTCCAGCTTCATGTCAATATCAATTTTTATTTTTGCAACTTGACAGGTAATTTATCAACAGCAACGGCGCATCGTTATTAGTACGTTTAACCTGCTAAGTCTCTACTATGCTAGTCAATTATACGCAGAACATTCCGTTAACATTGATAAGTTGGCGTGCGGTATTAGCGAGCTGAAGTATTTGTTCGAGGAGTTGGGAGCTCATGTTGCCACCGACTTGAATCGTCTCCAAGAGGAAATAGTCGAAACCGTTGAAATACATTCGAATATTGTACATTTTCACAATGAACGACTGCAATTTACGCAGGTCGCCGCAGCGCAGCTGGCACAGGAGATCGATACCAAAAGACTGAAGGCACATGCCATACTGCCGCAGATCATGGCTGTTGCTGTGCCGGCTCTAACATTACAGCTGTATATAAATCCCTGCATGTTTTGGCTTGCGCGCCCGTCATATCTTATACTTGCTGCACTTCAATTGCGGAAAGAGCAGCAAAGTCACACAGACAAGGCAAGCCAAGCGCTTACAAGCAGCTATTCTACGGTTGTAGCAAGCTTGTCGGAACGTGTCGCTACACTTGATGATATTTTCAAGCATGAATTTATAATTGAATCCAACAGGGACATGGAGGTGAGTGATTGCGAGAGTTTATAAAACGGCTCACGGCCAACATATGGAATCATTTACATATGTATTTATTTTTGGAGTGAAATTTCTTTCAAAATTGTCACGAAAAAGTGTGACACTTGGGATGTAACGAATGTGCGTCTCCTCTATTTATTCCCCCTCTCTCTCTATCTCTCTTTATGGTATTTTATATAATCGTTGAATTTGGATATAGAAAAGCTACGCAGCTAAGATAAGGACTAAGTATTCAGTTTGAGATCGAGTTTAAAGGCAGTGTCATGAATGAAATACAAGTGTGCTGCTTGCCATAACCAGTGGAGATTCACCACGCTAGTCCAAATAAAAAATTTATGGAAAAGGAAAATTACATTCATCGTTATATGAATTTCCGTGGTGAATCTCCAGCGGCGGCGAGATACGTATGACATCATACAATAAAAATAATGTTAACTCTCAATTACTGTTATATATATAAGACGCTTTCGATTCGCCACTTCTCTGCTCGCTAAGGTTGAGTTCCGCTCGCTTAAAGAAAAATGTTGTATGCGACGAAAGCAACAACAAAGTTAGCTAGCTGCGACGAACGATGGTGTGTTTAGTTGTATCTCAGTGATTTGGTTCGTTTCGCCACTCGCTGGCTGACGCTGGCGAGTCGATGGCGCAATAATTTTAAACCAATAAAATATTCCCAATTAAGTAGCATAGTCATTACATCAAAATTATACCGTCTGCAATTAGAAATTATAAAGAAATGATTGTAGAAAAGTTTCACTTCCTTAGTGTGGCCCAGGCGCACTATTGTTTTTTTTTCCTTTAATAATGTTTAATTTTTTATTACTCTCACAGGAATTCGAGCGAAATCTCAGCTTACTATCGAAACATGGCATGCTGACAATAGAATCCAATAACGGTCAAATCTCCTTTAACGAAAACGAAACTACTAACGTTATACTGTCCTCGTTAGCGCCTTTTCTATGCGTATACTACCAACTAGCAGTAACCGTTAATGAGGTAACTGGAACCAAATATTAAAATTTTGCAAACAAATAAAAACATTTTTGTATCTACATTTTCAATAGTTTCCCATCCCTAGTTCGGCATCACCTTCCATCAGTGAAATTTCCAATGAATTTAGCACAAAGGATATACTTATACACATGCAGCAGCGTATAGAGAAACTTCTACAACAACAGCATGCCAGGAATGTACATCCTTATTGTCTGGCCCTGGATAATTTAAATATCGCATTGTACTCATTTCAACAAGCCGGGTATCTGTTGAAGAATAAGGAAAATGGCATGCTGCAGCATTCTTCTGGTAAACCGTTAAGATCATTGGAAGCAGAACTATTGTGCTACTGTCAGTTATTGCCATTTCAACAATACTATAGAGCAACGAGCGCACAAATAAACTCCGTGCCTTCTAAGTTATAACTATTAAAACAACGTAGCAGAAGTACGCTGGTGGCACAGGCCAAGAATTGTCATGTAGCTTTTGTGTTTTTTATGTTAGTTTTCATTTTGCCAATACTACGCTTAATAATCGACTTATTCGTTTAGTTCAATTAGAATATTTTCTTGAGCACAAAGTAGAAGTTAGTATCCCTATATGCCTAAATAAATGTCCTTGAAAGTAAATTGGTCATAATTGGGCGCAGAAAATATTCAGCCAGTAAAAGCTTGATATACAACGTATGTATAAGCAACGATGGACCAAAGAAATATAATAATTTAAGGAGACACGGAATCCATAGGAAGGCTGGGTCCCAAATCTGTGGCATTGAATTAATTCTAATTGAGGAAGTCATCCGCGCTACATGCATTTTAGAGGCATAGTTGGGATATTTTTTTGAACTACAACATTTTGTCAAAACGAGTTTATTAAATACGTTAACTTAGCAGAAAATTGTTATTTGGCATTCCTTAAGTAACTGAAAAGAAGTAAGCAAATGGATAGCGTCAACAAAAGTTTAGAATTTTCAGAGCTGAAGAAAAATCGTAAAATACATACATATTAATTCGTACACTAATGGATAGAAACGCTTTGACATTTCAAAAAGTCCAGTCGGCCATAAAAACGCTCAAACAAGAAATTTGCACAACTCTGTTTCCGAATAATCGTTAAACACAAAAAACTGAATGCATTTATTCGCCAACAAAATATGTATATGTTTATATGCTTATCATTAATCCTTTACATCTTACATTCCATCGGCCTTAATAATAGAGTATTTACATACATACATATGTATGTACATACCAGGGTTGTTGCGAATATTATTCCGAAATAAAAGTCCTTTCCGGATAATAAACAAGCCGCTTATCCAAATTAAACAAGTTTGGTATCAAATGAAAGAGGACTTTCATATCATGAGAGGACTTTAATATGTCTTTTAAATTAGGTTATGATTATTAAAAAATGTATCACTCTATTTTAAGAGAGCTCTTACCATGCAAAAGTCACAGAAGACAGTTTTTACCTATCTTGATTCTGACGGCTGTTGCTAAGACTTTTGTACTGGCTTTATAATTATGCAACGGAGTGTATACAGCGTGGCGACGAATAACTGTTACCCAGAGTCCTTTATAGAATTTACGAAAACAGTATTTTATTGTTAATTTTCACAGATTTAAACTTTATTAACTAGTGCAGTGAAAACTTTGGGAGATAAGTACATGCATGCATGCAAGTCTTTTTCAGGTTTATTTTTTTGGGCTTTGTATACAAAAAGACAAAAAAAAAAAAAAGACTGGTCGAATGAATGGCCGCCCTAGTCATCAGTTCCGAGTCTATTCGATTTCTGAGTATGAGGCCTTATGTTGGATAAAAAGTGGAGTATAAAAGACTCAAAATGGAGGAAATTAGCCTATGGTTACAGAAGATATGGAATAAATTAACTGATGAAGACTTGCGTGCCGCTTGCTCTTTTCTCTTAAAGTGTTTAACAAACAAAGGTTAAAATTTAAAAACTAGAAAATAAAATTGAAGTAAAATTTGTGGAAACGACCCTTTAATTTTTCATCAAACCTGGGTAACAGTTATTCGTCCCCAAACTGTATAGTACTCGAGTACCTCTACCAAGTACATATATACTTAGTATTTTTTGTATCGAGTAAAATAGATCTGGTTTTGTCACAGCTTAAAAAAATGTAATGATGTATATTTTGCAAAAACTAGTTAACCAAGTGGATCCCCCGCTTGTGCTGGTGTTAAGGCTACAAGAGCGATGTGGAGACCGTCTCTATGACCGTCTCTAAAAACGGAAAAGCGATGAGATTTCTCATTGCTTAATCGTCTCTTGTTTCAGCACTTTCAAGTAACCCCATTTCAAAATAGGAGGATATGAAAGGTAATTTTCCAGCTTTTATTACCTTGCACGAAGTTTAATTTGGGTTGTTGCGTCGTCGGGTCCCAGTGAAAAGTTGTTGAGTCAAAGGTGAATTGAGTAGTTTGTAGCAGCACTTGGAATATCAAAGAGTATTGTCTTCGTTATTTTTAATATGTCCACTTCTACGAACACTAATCGTAAAATATTTATACTATGCTTGTTATATTTTCAGTTAACTTAAAATTGTTGTTATGAGAGATTTTAAAATTGTATAATTAACTTCAACGCGTACAAGGAGAAATGGACAAATGAATATGTATTCCTTATCTTTTTAGTAGGAGAAATCACATTGTATTTAGCCTTGGCTACCATTGTATTTAAAACACTTAGCAAATACACTATAATTTTAGCCATTATTTTTTTTTCGTTTTTACAGCACAAACTTTATAAAAAGTACATCAATACATACGTACATATACATATGTACTATATATACTTATGTACATACATAATATTATAATATATGATCTGTAAACCTGAAAATATCTTTTACATAAAATTCATTTGTCGAAATTACAAATAAATATATTTCTATTTGTTAATCACAATAACTATATTTTATGTATTACCTGCTATTATGCTATTCATGGTTGGATGATAGAAATGTCCGGATAAATCGCTGCATTGTCAGTTCACTAATAACCACTGTCATTAATAAATGCTCAGCACTGCCTTCATCGGCGCGTACATCAGTTACCGCAGCATTCTTGTACAACCATGCCACCTCGGCACCACCATTACGCACACGCATTGTCATTTTACGACGTCCCGTCACTGTAAGTACTTTATGTTCAATTTCCAATAACAATTCTTTTAGACCTGTGGCCTTTGTCGCTGACACTAAATGCGTGTCTTCTGATGGCTGGACCTGCGCCGGCGATACCAAGTCGATTTTATTTCCAACGTTTATAATGGGTGGCATTTGGTCGTTTGACGCTATAGAATTTTGAAGTGATGCCAATGTTGCAATGACGTGTTGTTGTTGTGCTTGTTTACATTTGTGCGAGAGATCTTGTACGTGTAAAATGATATCCTATTAAAGAAGAAAATCATGCCGATATTTTTAGCTGTAAATAATTTAAAAATAGCTATAAAGGAACTTACTGCCAGCATAGCATCCTCAAGAGTTGCCACAAAACACTCCATTAAGCCAGTGGGTAGATCAGACATGAAACCCACCGTGTCCATGTAAATAACCTCAAGATTGCATGGCAATATGCCCGCATGCGCTGTAACATCAAGCGTAGCGAATAGCTGATTACGCGGTTGCAGGCTTTGCTCGTGTGTTAAGGCTTTAATCAATGACGTTTTGCCAGCGTTAGTGTACCCAACCACTGCAATCACTGGATAATTCTTTTGTTTACGTTTGTTGCGGAGTAACTTCCTACAGAAAAAAGCTTATTTAATTCAAATCAAATCAAAAATTTTTCAATAAAATACCTATGACCCCTTATCCGTTCCAGTTCCTGTTTTAGCCTGCGCTCCCTTGTCCTTAGTATCTCACGTTGCGTGTCTGTAAATGAGTAGCCTTGTTTCCGCGCTAGCGACGGGTTCGCGTCCTTGGCTTGCGTCCAAATATACGGTATTTCAGCCATGGCTACTTGGAGACGGGCTTCCGCACTGGTTGCATGTAGACGTAATATTTGAATGACAACCGAATAACGATCCAACACCGGCAATTTGAATATTTCTTCTAGAAATCGTTTCTGGCCAAAACTTAGTGTGCTTTTACTAATAAAGAGGCAAGATAGTGCTTTTTTTGTGTTATGTTCTTGCAACTGTTTTTTAAGCTCTTCAATTTTACCACTCCCAAAAAGCGCTTTACGATGTAGTGTTTCTAGAGGTACTTTGATAGCATGAGCCACACGCCAGTTTGGCAGGGAGTCCACAAGTGCCTTTGCCTCTTCCAACTGATCCTCAGGCGTGGTGAGGGTGTTTCGTTCACTTCCCCATTTTACATAAGGCTGTATAATGAATACGTTTTGAGTTAGGGAGCCAGGTGAAATGTGCATGGCACTGTTGGCTAATTCTTCATAAGCGCTAAATATGAATTTTAGAGACGTAATTAAGTTGATTTCACAAATTAAAGGAGCATTTCCATAACGAGACTTATATTCAATACCCTCTATATGCAATTTTCACAAAAACTACTCTGTAATGTTAGAACCCATCTGGGACTTAGCTGTCATTACTGGTGTTAATTATGACTTTGCAATTTAATAGTAAATTCTTCTGTCAAGCGTTGTACAAGGTCAGCATTAATATCACCGATGACAGTAAAGTCTTAGGTGGATTTTTGTATCAGAATCTCATTTTTGTGAAAATTGCAGAGGGTAAGCTAAGAGCTTTGGGAAACTAATATTTTTTTAAATCGTCAAATCGAATTGTATGTAGTGCGAAATGATATAAAATGATAAAATATTCACTACCATTCAAAATGTATTAACATACATGCATATGTATATACTTTACGTTTAGATGATTAATTTACCGATCGTCCAAGTTGAGTGGTTCGTTATTAATATCTTCGCATTTGGACATATTTATGTCCGATTCGCTTTCCTCTTTTGAAAGAGTCTCAAAAGTACTTTTTTTGTTGCGTATACCTTTTACACCTTTGTGCTGCATATATTTCCACCGCGCTAACATGTGATGGCTCTTAAAATTGCCTAATATGCAGCATTCTC